CCTTACTAATGTCCGATCAAGACCAAACTTGGCACACAGAGCCACCTTGACCCACTCTACATCCCGATGCTGTTTGGGGAGGACGGACAATTGATGATGGGACTTCAAGTTCCTTCACTCACTTCCTGAAAACAATGCAGTCGTTATCCAATGACCAATAAAGACCAAATTTGGCATACAGAACTGCCATTACCCACTTTCTCTAATAACCCGGGCAGCGCCGGGTCCCCAAGCTAGTATATAATAAAGGTGAAAGTTTGTATGTGGAGGACAAAAGTGTGGCGGTGTATGTGCTAGCTTTCTGATTGGCTGCCACTGTTGTCTCTGATTGGCCAGCCTGAAATTCCAAGATTCCGATTGGCTGGGCAGCGGTGCTATTTGCATATGGTCTCTGATTGGCCAGCTTCAAGAGGAGCCCCTGGTGGAGAAAAGAGTTCATGGCAGAAACGGGGACATGAGAAGGAAATTTGCATATGGTCTCTGATTGGCCAGCCTCAATTCCAAGATTCCGAGATGAAAAAAAGAGGAAAGGAAAGGGCCAGAGGGGGCTGAGTCAGAAAATTACCAATACAGACCACACTTCGCACACAGAGCCTGCAAGACCGACTCGACATCCTACTGCAACCATGGATGATGGGACTTGCAGTACCATCACTCACATTCTGAGACTGCTGTTAACCTCATCCAATGACTGATCAGGACCAAACTTGGCACATAGACCTCTCATGACCCACCTTATGTCCTGGTGTGGTTTGGCCGGGGATGGACCATGGATTATAGGACTTGCAGTACCTTTGCTCAATTCCTGAGACCACTGCAACCCTCATCCAATTACCGATAAAGACCAAACTTGGCACACTGAGTCTCCATGACACACTCTACATCCTGGTGCAGCTTGGAGGATGCACCATGGACGATGGGACTTGCAATACCTGCACTCCCTTCTTAAGACCATTACAACTGCCAACAATGATGGATCAGGACCACAATTTACACAGAGAGCCCGCATGACCCACTCTACATCCTGGTGCGGTTAGGAAAAATTTGTCAATGGATGATGGGACTTGCAGTCACTTCACTCACTTCCTGAGACCACTGAGACCCACACCAACTTGGCACACAGAGTCCCCATGACCCACTCTACATCCTGGTGCACTTTCGAGGAGGACAGACCATGGATGATGGGACTTCAAGTACCTCCACTCCCTCCCAAGACGGCTGCAACCCTCATCTAATGTCTGATCAAGATCAAACTTGGCACACAGAGCCCCCATGACCCACTCTACATCCTGGTGCAGTCACTTCACTCACTTCCTGAGACCACTGACTGATCAAGACCAAATTTGGCACACATTCTGAGACCTCTGCAAACCTCATGCAATGACTGATCGAGACCAAACTTGGCACATAGACCTCTCATGACCCACTTTACGTCCTGGTGTCATTTGGAAAAAAATGGAGATGGATGATGGGACTTGCAGTAACCTCACTCACTTTCTGAGACCACTGAGACCCTCGCCAATGACTAATCAAGACCAAACTTGGCACACGGAGCCCCAATGACGCACTCTACACCCTGGTGCAGTTTGGAGGACAGACCATGGATGATGGGACTTCAAGTACCTCCACTCCCTTCCCAAGATTGCTGCAACCCTCATCTAATGACCCATCAAGACCAAACTTGGCACACACAGCCCCCATGACCCACCCTACATCCCAGTGCTGTTTGAAGGATGGACGATGGATGATGGTACTTGCAGTACGTTCACTCACGTCCTGTAACCATAGCGACACTCATTCAAAAACCAATAAAGACCAAACTTGGAACATAGAGCCCGCATGGCCAACTCAACATTCTGGTGAGGTTTGGGGGAGTACAGACTATGGATGATGGGACTTCAAGTACCTCCACTCACTTCCCAAGACCTCTGCAACACTCATCTAATGACCAATCAAGTCCAAACTTGGCACACAAAACCCCCATGACCAACTCTCCATCCTGGAGCAGTTTGGAGGGGGATGGACCACAGATAATGGGACTCACAGTAACTTCACTAACTTCCTGAGACAACTGCGAGTCATATAAATAACTGATAAAGACCAACCTTGATACACAATTCCTTTCTCAAATAACCCGGGCAGCGCCGGGTCCCCAAGCTAATAATAATAATAATAATAATAATAATAATAATAATAATAATAATAGGTCGCGTGTCAAAGCCTGACAAAAGTACATGAAATCACCATGACAGGGGGAGGCCAAGTGGTATGATGCACTAGAGATGACTGATAAGTGTCTGAGAGAGCAGCAATTTCAACTGGAGTGAAGCCCTCCAGTCAGAATGCACTACCCAGTGATTTAAATCTCTGGTTCAGATTCATTGACTGACAGTTCCTGTTTGCCCTCCAGAGCTATGCCAAGCCACTGTGCTTCATGCATAAAAGAAACCATTACCAGAGGAACCAACAGTGCTCCACTCCTGTCCCGGACCACAAAAATACTGGTGCAGCAGGTTAAACTGCTGAGTTGCTGAACTTGCTGACTGAAAGGTTGGCAGTTCAAATCCGAGGAGTGGTGTGAGCTCCTGCTGTTAGGCCCAGCTTCTGCCAACCTAGCAGTTTGAAAACATGTCGATGTGAATAGATCAATAGGTACTGCTTCTGCAGGAAGGTAATGGCTCTCCATGCAGTCATGCCGGCCACATAACCTTGGACAACAGCAGCTCTTTGGCTTAGAAATGGAAATGAGCACCGACCCCTCAGAGTTGGACTCGACTTAATTTCAAGGAGAAATCTTTACCTTTTATGCAGAATAAGTTTTTGATAGAATAGAGAACTTGTAGTACTTGAATACTTTCTCACTGTGAGAAGAAAATTCCTAAAATCACTAGTTACTTCTTTCAAGAACAAAGAAGGTCCCATTATAAATCTGATAACACAATTTCAAGTGTGATTTTGTTAAGGTTTATTAATTATGTAAAAAGAGATTTATTGTTCTGTAGACAAGTGTAAGTAATAACATAAACATCCCACGTTTTCAGCATGGAGATAATAAGGGTTGTTATAAAATCTGCAAGATTTAATTATTTTTTGTCGTGTCAGGAGCAAGTTGCTTCTGGTGTGAGAGAATTGGCCATTTGCAAGGACGTTGCCCAGGGGACGCCTGGATGATTTGATGTTTTTTATCATCCTTGTGGGAGGCTTTTCTCATGTCCCCGCATGAATAGCTGGAGCTGATAGAGGGAGCTCATCCGCCTCTCCCCGGATTCGAACCTGCGACCTGTCGGTCTTCAGTCCTGCTGGCACAGGGGTTTAACCCACTGCGCCACCGGGGGCTCTAGATGATATAATCTGCAAGATGATATAATCAAAAGTGCCATACCAATGACATCGGTGAAAATTATTGTTAGTGTGTCTAAATCAAAATCAAGTTTGTCTTTGTTTCTACTTAAACATTTCACCAGACAATCCTCATTTTTTTAGGAAGACTGTTTCCTCAACATCATCATGCCTTCAGTTATTTAGTTTCAAATTTATTCTTTTCTTCATTTTGGCTGGTATATAAAAATATGAAAGTACAGGAATGATGTTGTTGCTGCTGCTGTCAAAGTTATTGCTGACGTATGCCTTCAATTTTTTTCTAGCTTATGATAACTGTAATACAAACTTTTCACAAGGTTTTCCCAGCAATATTTGTTTAGATGGGGTTTTCTATCGTTCTCCTCTGATGCTGAAAGAATATGACTCAAGATAACTGAGTGGTTTTCTATGGCAAAATGGGGAGCTGAATCCTGATTTCTCTGTATCCTAATCCAACACACAAACAACTATATAATGAAGGCTCTAAATGAATACAAAAAAAATCATAATGAAGTTTGTAAACAACATACCTTAAAAGTGCTTAACTGACACTTTTGCTGTAAACAGATCAAAGAAACCCCTGCATCAGCGAAATTTCTTTCAATCTCCTAGGCATTACTGGCTATACGAAATATTCATATTCATATTTACTTTTGGTAGAGTACAGAGCACCAGTGACAAGGAAATATGTTCTACACTAAAATGTCAGCTCAGATACGAGCATTGCAAGCCTACCTATGCATATCTGTTCAGAAGAAATTCCTTTTTTCCCATAGAACTTACATGGGTATCTAGCTTTAATATCTTCAATATTTATATTAGTACATATTTTAAAGAACACATCAAGCTAAATTATGATTCTTATTTGTAATAATTTAAACAGACTGCGAAGGAAGATAGATACTTTTGAGCTGTGGTCTTGGAGGAAAGTTCCGAGAGTGCCTTGGACTGTGAGAAGATCCAACCAGTCCATCCTCCAGGAAATAAAGCCCGACTGCTCATTGGAGGGAAGGATACTAGAGACAAAGTTGAAGTACTTTGGCCACATCATGAGGAGACAGCAAAGCCTAGAGAAGACAATTATGCTGGGGAAAGTGGAAGGTAAAAGGAAGAGGGGCCGACCAAGGGCAAGATGGATGGATGGCATCCTTGAAGTGATGGATTGACCTTGAAGGAGCTGGGGGTGGTGACGGCCGACAGGGAGCTCTGGCGTGGGCTGGTCCATGAGGTCTCGAAGAGTCAGAGACGACTGAACGAATGAACAACAACAACAGACTGCTCTGACATGAAAGAACAGAGTCAAGACATCACATAGTGTGCATTCTTTCCTTCCTTTCTATATTTCTTTTTTACTTTTTCTTAGACACATTTCCTTAGGTAAGAAGCCATGGATAGGAAGGCACATGCTGATGGAGGTGATACATTACAAAAGAATTTGGCAAAAGGAGGGGAACTAAAGTATGTAATTTTTTTAACTGCCAAGGCTAACCAACTTATCTACTTGGTTGAAGAAAATACCATGTTGTAGCACCACTTAGAACAAGGGATTATGTCAATATAATTAGAAACATTCATGAATTTTGAAAAGCAATTTTAATTACAAATCACAAGAACAAAGAAGCAGTAAGAACATATTTTACCTGATCTGATAGGATACCGTCCTGTCAAGAAAGCTGCTCTGCTGGGTGTGCACAGTGGTGCAGCAGCTATATGCTGAGTCAGCTTTACTCCTCTTTTAGCTAACGTATCGATATTGGGAGTTCTGATGAGAAGAAAGCAAACAGTATTTTAATGAAATGCGTAGCATAGGAATGAACCAGATTATTATTTTTTCTGATTTTTACAATGTATACGCTTCATGCATAACAAAATTATGGAACTGGATTGCCAAATCATCCATTCAGTAGAGTATGCCTATGGCTTTCCAAATCAATGGGATTTGTTTTACCTAATTGTGGTCAGCCACGGCCTTCAATAAAATGTTTTAGTCAGCAACTATAAATTCTGTAGCCAAAGTCAACAGATAAAAAGCTTTAATGGAAGTGTGCCTCAATTATGATAATACAAATTAAGTGAAATGTATCCAGTAAATACGATTCTGAAGCAACACGTTGTTTTCTGAATGCATGCCTGCTTGAAATGAAAGTCTCACATGCTAGTTCTGCCCTAAAGCTCTTTGTGCACTGGCCAGAATTTGAACAATGATACATTTTCTGTCGACGACTCCCACTAACTGCTTATCAGCATGGAAGTAACTTTTACAGACTCTAAAGTGGAAGCTACTGTTCCCCTTACATCTCTCAACTTGCCATGTTGCATGGTGCTTTTTAAAGGAGCAATGTCTTCACACTCTCTTGAATAGAATTAGAATGTTCCATGATCAGGAACTCAGCTTTATTATAGAAAGTCTTGAAGACTTTCTTTGGAAACTACAGTTGGCCAGGTTTGGTTATACATACTTTTAGCCAGCTGTAGTACTTTGCATTATGAAAATATAAATTAACCGTGTTGAAACAGCAGCAATATTTTCTGGTTCATTTCTTGACATAAATTGAAGTTTCAGTGACTTCCTTTAAACTACTGCACAGTCACAAATGGGACACAGGGCTTTCCATACACATTTTACAATGCATGTGTAAACAGTGGATTTCATGTTGGAAAGGTGATTGATGAATCCATTTAGGGTTTTAGTCCGAACTCTATCCCTAAAATATACTTGAATAGTCCCTTTAACGTTTAGGATAAAAGTTAGAAAAGTTCTCAGCTTTACTGATGTAAGAGTCATTAGGCCCCACTCTGTTTTATGTAACCAAGCAGTTTTGGAAATAACAGTAAACCCTCCATGTGCATGGATTCTACATCTATAGATTCAATAAACCATGACTCAAAAATATTCCAATAAAATTCTGAAAAGCAAATTTTCAGCTTGCCATTTTTTTTACAAGGGACACAATTTTACTACAAAATTGTATATAGTGGGATTTGAGTATCAACTGATTTTGGTATCTGTGGGATCATGGAAGCAAACTCCATCAAATATTAAGAGCCCACTGTTTACTATTGATTGAATAGAAATGTAATATATCTTGGCACAGGGAGGAAATTACATTTATGCCTTCTTAGTTTGCTTTTCCAGATTGATCAGTGTACAGCTTCAAGATCCCTACTCTTCTTACTTATGTTCTCAACAGTGATAGCCCACCTGTTGAACACATTCATAGAAATGTTTGCTTGGTGTTCTCTTGCTCAGTTTCCCTGAGGATTATCTTCTTATTCTTTCCAGACCTTTTGCCTTTCTGTTGTGCTGCCTCACAGCATTCTTTTTTTATGCTCTTCTGATTAAGATAAACTCAAAAGCTTCAACACCTTTGTGTTATTTTGGCTGCTCTTTGTAAAGATATGCTGTGCACCTGTAGATTTAGATATTTTTCTTGTCATGTACCAATAAAACCATTTTCATTCTATTTAATTTCATTGTTGTTTTCTTCTTGTTTTATTAATTAACTGATGTAGAAGTGTCTACACTGAAAGGCAGTGTATGCAGGCTGAAATGAAATATATTATAAAAGCTACACCATTCTATATACACAACCATTCTGAATGTAATTTACTTTTGAGCAGGTTTGCACAGGACTGTATTAATAAATCTAGCAGACACCTGTAGGAAAATCCAGTGTGAAATATTTGTAAATGAATCAAGCACTAAACCACAAAATCATAATTTAGTACACACTGTTGGGACCTAGTTTAAGTTCCTCTATCACATGAATTTTTATTTTGTTGGGTTTTTTTTGTTTGTTTGTTTGTTTTTAAAAACAAAACAAAAACATTAGTATTGGTGATGAACAAAATAAATAATTGAATTGTTCATTGTTCTTTATGGCTAATTTTATAAAACTAGCTAAAACCCTGTCCATTAAAATAATTTATAGCCTCTGTACATACTAGTGCAGGCCATGATCTTAAGCATTTTGATAGCACACTAGTGTTATGGGAACATGCAACAGTAGCAGCAGCAGAGACAATGGCACAAAGAGCCTGCCAAATCCATGCTACATATCTCAAATGCTGTTTACTAGTAGCAGTAATGGGGAAATGACCAATCTTAGAGGAAAGATGGGTATCTTAAACAATTGCTCTTGCAAGCCAAAGGGCATCCAAGGGCTTGTTGACACTTGTCCAAAACCTTGCATCACACCAGGAGTTGCTCCTGGATGTCCAAACCATAATTCCAGGGACTTCAAGACCGTAAGAGAGGGTAAAAGAGAGTGCATGTGGACAGCTGGACCAGCTCTAATGTGAATTGGTGTATGGTGTACATGGCCTAGCACCAACATTCCCTTTTTCCTGTGTTCGACAACACAGGGGAAAGGGGACAGATTGGGCCTGCATTGTCCTCCGTCACCATAGCAGATGGTCACCCTCCTTCTCCTGCTTCTATGGGCACTTTTGCTAATGTCAATGGCCAGAAGTTCTCCCAAGTTCCAAGGTGGTTCAGAAGCAGAGTATTGTCGGAACTAGGACACTAGGAAACATCCAACGTAAATGATAGTTCAATGAGGCCGAAGTCTTACTGTACTGTCTGGACTATGCCCCAACACCATTGCAGGATGGACATACTGTAGCTGCCCCTAATATCAGTATGGAATATTGTTACTCTAGACTGTCTCAGATTCTAGAATGCATGTAGATGTACTCTTAGCAGCATATTCCAGAGTATTGTTGGAACTAGGACACTTCTCAGATATTCAAGAAACAAGTGGCACAAAGTTGGCAGCCTCATCCCCTCAGTGCTCTTGCTTCCAATTGTTTCTTCTTTCTCTTGGACCCTGTGTTGTCCCCACCTAGTTACTATTTCCTTCTTTCACCATTGGTATAATGATACTAGAAAACGCATTTATGAGTAAGCACCATTCAAAACATTGCTACTCGGTATAATATAGCATTACTGTGGAAAATGCAACATCCTATTCTCAACTGAACAACTGAATCCCTGTTTTCTGGAGTATTACTAAATCAATAAGTAGCACGATGGCCTAACATCATGTCAATTAAGGGAATGTGGTAATTTAACTACTTCATTCTAGGCTTTCTGCAATGTAAAATGAAAGGAACACTTTATATTTTATATTTAGGTAAAACTAAGGGTTTCCCCTGACAAATCTAGTCGTGTCCAACTCTGGGTGGTGGTGCTCATTTCCATTTCTAAGCTGAAGAGCTGATGTTATCTGTAGACACCCCCAAGGTCATGTGGCCAGCATGACTGTATGGAGCACTGTAACCTTCCTGCAGAAGTGGTACCTATCGATCTACTCACATTTGCATGTTTTCAAACCACTAGGTTGGCAGAAGCTGGGCCTAACACTGGGAGCTCACCCCATTCTCCGGATTCTAACCACCAACCTTTCGGTCAGCAATTTCAGCAGCTCAGCAGTTTAACCTGCTGTGCCCCCTGGGGGCTAATTTTATATTTATTCCTTGTATTGTCGAATGCTTTCATGGCTGGAATCACTAGGTTCTTGTGGGTTTTTTCGGGCTATATGGCCATGTTCTCGAGGCATTTCTCCTGACGTTTCGCCTGCATCTATGGCAAGCAGCCTCAGAGGTGAGGTCTATTGGAACTGTTGGAACTTTATTCCTTACTTTTTGTCTCAGTAGATACAAAATCCTAAATTCATATTTTGGTACTTAACAAAGATGTTCCATGTGGTGCCAAAAGCAGTTCACAACCTATAATCCATATATAAGTCATAATCCTTGTTCAAATGGTACAGGATGACCATGAAGTAGATGTGGCAAGATACAAACATCATTGGCCAGTATTGTATTTCCTCATATTTTTACCTGACTCTTAGGTTTCTTGCAATTCTGTGAAACTCATCTCTTTATGCAGACTTTCAAGAGCTAGGAATTGCTGAATCTTTGACATTGCTTCTGAAGTTCATGCTTTGAAATACCATGGCCTGATTTTTAACCTTTTTTTTGCCTTTAAAATGTTTTTTCAAGATATATTAAATAGAGACTTGTGTATGATAAGAATGGCAGAGTTAATAAATTTTTAAAATGAATGTAAATAAAATTCATTATCTTCTCTCTAAGACTATACATTAGATTGCTAATGCATTTGATTTATCAAGTAGAATCTGTACATATACTGAAGGAGATCAGAGCACACTTTGTTCTATTTTTACTTTTTATTATTATTTACTGCATTTTTATACCGCCTTTCTCAGCCAAAGGCGACTCGTTTGGGGCAGGGGATTGGATGACAACTACACAAGTGGCTAATCATGTTGCATGAAGGATTCTGGGAGAGTCCAAAAACAACTCTTCCAAACTCTAATGAGAGGTTTCTTCAAAGTTGAGGCCAATCCTTCCACAGGCAGGAACTAAAAGGCATCACTATGTTAGTATGCAAAGGGATCTTGTAGCATATTAGAGACTAAGATCCTTTCCAGACAGGCCCTATATCCCAAGATCTGATCCCAGGTTTTCTGCTTTAAACTGGATCATATGAGTCTGCGCTGACAGATAATCTGGGATAAACAGAAAACCTGGGATCAGATCCTGGGATACAGGGCCTGTCTGGAAGTGCTATCATCCCCCTCCCACACAGCCATAAAATCCAGATTATCAAATCAGATAATCCAGATTATCTGCTTTGAACTGTATTATATGAGTCTACACTACCATATACTTGAGTTCAATGCAGATAATATGGATTTTATATGTGGCAGTGTAGAAGGGGCCTAACTTAAAGCATAGAGTTGGTAGCATATGCTTTCATATATGGATCTGAAGAAGGAAATTAGTCTATAAAACCTTATGCTACCAACTATTTTTATGCGAGTCTCTAATGTAATGCAAAATATCTTTGCCTACTTATTTCCAATTGCATAAGAAATAGAATAAGAGCAAACAACACAGTTTTGAATTTTTCAGTGTTTCACTTTTGAATTTTTCAAGAGTAAGGCCCCTTCTACATTGCCATATAATCCAGTTTAAAGCAGATAATCTCAATGTTATATGGCAGGGTAAGAGGGGCCTCAGTTATTTGTCATTGCACTATTCCACGATATGGAAGTGGTAGAGTTGCAGTCTAAAATGTCACTAAAGCTAAACCATTTTAGAGAATTTATTTAAACACATCAGTTTCATAGATCACCAGAAGTTAAACCAAACCTTAGAGTTGTATTTCCATAACATCCCAAGTCTCCAATACCCAGGTCATCAGCCATGAATAGAATAATGTTGGGCTTTGTAATGTTTTTGCTTGTAGCAATGCTTGTTAGCCATAGAAAAAGCATCAAACGTAAAAGGATCATCATTCCCCTGTTTTAAGGTGAGATTCTTTTAAAGAGACCTGTTTTATAAAAGAATGACATTCAATGAATTAATGTTAAAGGAGAGCAATGTTCTTCATGGCTTGGACAATGATTCAGATTATCACAGTTTATAAGTAGAACTTGGTATTTCACATGTTTAAAGATACACAATATCCACACGATGAATACATAAATATATTAATATAGATATTTACCAAGAAATAAAATGTGGTTATCAAGCAATGGGAGCATACCTTTCATATATTTGGTTATAAATATAATAAATCTTTATTTATATCCTGCCCTATCTCCCCGTAGGGACTCAGGGAAGTTACATTCAATAAAGTCAGAGGCATTTGTGCTAGAATTTCATTCTTTACAAAACACACATCCACAGAATAAGTTAAATTCCAATCGGAAATCATAACATAAAAGTGTTCAAGTTGTTTTGCACTTTCAAAAAGACAGTGGTAAAAAGAACAGGGAAGGGAGCAATGGTGACTTAACCCATGGTTTAAAAGTTTGATCTCATTTTAGGATTTCCAATATTTCCCACTGCACCTATTGTTTTACCCTTTGCTATGATGAAAAAAGCTGAAAAACATGATGGTGTGTACTCCTTTCTTTAATTGTATTTAGTTCTAACATGTATTATCTGTCTATAGATTTTGAACTTGGTTTTGAACTAGGAAATCAACTTGGTTAACTTACATGTTTTTGTTTTCTACTAAAAAATTAGCCATCAAAAATAAGTCCCAGGTTTCCATCTGGGCTAAGTTCACTGTATTGAATAGAAACATCAGGGTGTTTGTGTGGCATGCATAAACAAAAAACAATTTAATATAAGTGCATTTTATTTCACTATTTCATGGTACCGTGTCTTGAATATTTTCTCAATAACAATTTAAGCTACCAAGTCATCAACCATGTCATAGTCTTCCAATGCCAATGTATGGTTGGCCCATGAAGAATGCTGACAGGAAGAAAATTACCTCATTTGAAATGTCATGCAGGAGAAGAGTTCTGTGGATTACTGTGGAGTAATAAAAGAACAAGTGAGTAAGTCCTAAAGCAAGTGGCCACCTCCCTCCTGTCCTTTAGAAGACATCTGAAGACCTGGCTCTGTAGCCAGGTGTTTGATTAGATGATAATGACAATAGGAAAGGATTTTGGGTTGCAACATTGGATTTCCCGGTTTGATTTTTGTTTTACTAGCATTTTAATATTATCTGGTAAATGAATGTATTGGCTGATGTGTTTGATGTTTTAAGATGATTTTACTGTTTTACTGTTTTATTGTATTCTTTGATGTATATGTTGTAAGCATCGTTGATGCCTATGGGAAAAGGGCAGGATAGAAATGTATGAAATAAATATATAAATAAATAAAGTAAGGAGAACACAATTTATCTGATGAACCAAAGAAAACACATCATTGGAAAAAAAAACACCTTCAGCAAACAAGGAAATATTCAGAGGGATAAAAAGGGAAAGGAAATTTTAAAAGATAACAGTTTTCTCTCATTTCACCTGTGGCATTAGTGCAGTTGACTTGACTAAAGGATGGTATAAATGTTTCCCATCGCCCTTTCTCTCATCATATGAGGAAAAGGAGAGGAAAGTGCAGGTAGCACTATCGGAGCTACTCGAAAAACACTTTCCTCGCCATCGTGGAGGAAGAAGCATCTTGTGATGCTTCCTCTCCAATTTGGGAGGACTGTGGGTGGGGCCAAGCCACCCACATTCTGATGATGCTAGGCAGGTCTTGTCGACAAATGGAAAAACGGTGTAAAAAAAACCCCCATGTGAAAAAGTCCTAAGTTAGGTCATGTTTTTCCTTTCTTTTTCTCAGTCCAAAAAGATTTTTTTAAAAAATAAAATGACTCAAAGTCTCTACTAACTCTCTCCAGTGTGGGTGCGTGTGAAAGAGAGAATGAGAGCGAGAGATTGTTTCGTTGGTTAGCACTTTAATCAAATATGACATGTTGTATTCTCCTTCCTTTTTTTCTTTCTCTGCTCCTAATTTGCCCACTAAAACCAAATGATTCAATGATATGATGAAAATACCATAATGCTGGTTGAATATAAATAAAAAAGGAAGGACATACTGCAGATGAATTGGGTGTAGAAAGTCATTATCTTCAGTTTCTAAGACCCAAGTAGATCTGTTAGTAACAGGGCAGTTTGCAATATCTCATTCATAAGTGAGCCTTCCTTAATGGCACATATCAAATCTTAATGGCCATCTGATATAAAACAGACAAACATGTACCCCTTCCATTCATTATGCAAATGAAGAAAGACAGGTGGATAGTTCTGATCTTGTGACCAAATTGTCTTTGCATATCTAAACTGAGAAAATCTTGCACATAAGCCAGTATGTCTTCTGGTTCTTTAATTTTTCATAATTCTAGGCAGGATAGAATTTCATCCATCTTTCATTCATGAGTAGGTGCCTGCTATTCTAGCGTGCACGTGCATGTGCAGATGTTAGTGGTGCCAAAGAGTCATAGGTTAAATGGATAATACATGAAACTGACTTTTGATGATACATAAACATATAGCTGTAACAAAACTCAGTTTCTCATAGTTTGGGGTGGTGCTATTCCTGAATAAATGGCATGAAAAACATGAAAGGATTCCCCAGTGAATGTTGATTAAGTGTTTCAATCCTTTTCCTACTTGCATTCTTTGACTCAGAAATTCTCAGCAATTAGCAGCACTAGTCAAACCTTTTAAAGTGTACAGGATGCATGTTACTGTATGGTATTCTGTACAAAACAAATCAACAGACACACTTGATCACAGGAAATAGCATGCTGGCAGCACAGTTGTTTGCACAGGTATCTGCCTCCAGGAAAAAAGGTTCCCTCTCTAATTAGAAAATGTAATTTGAATTGTACAACTAGAGGCTTGTCTAAAGCATAAAGAAGCAACAAAGAAATCTGAATGATGAAAGAACAAAAGACAAAATTTAAAAAATGTCACACTGATGCTTAATGTCAAGTTTATTTTTTTTCAAGCCACATCATATCTCATAGCTGACTTGAATCTCATTTTTGGAAAAATTTGATAAGTAAAATAAACCAGAGAAGAGACATATCCTTCACCCTTCTATTTGCATCCTTGTCAATACCTTTCCAAATTGGAGACACAGGGAGAGCACATACATATCAAAGTGCAATCTTACTGGTCAATCTTAATATCAGCTTCTCTTCTCAAAATGACCCACTGATGGACAAAGTACTTGAGTTTTGAAAAATAGTATGTTCTAAAGAATATCTGTTTAAGAATGCTGGAAAAAATATACCTTATCCACCGTGTGCTGACATAAAAACCTTTTCTTCATGTGTAATAATATCCAGAGTTAGGTTTGGAGTATCAAATTTTCCCCTTCATAATCATCTCTGTATGATTTGCTATCTTTCATCTCCTTTCCTTGTCTTCTACACATTAAATTGACACATCATGATTTTGTGATTTTGTGCACATACTTTCAGCAGGGAAAAAAGTAGTAAACTTGGTTTTCTCACCTATTTGTTTGCTTGTCATCACTTGATCATTCTAGAAGCACAGAACAGATGTAGCCTGGTGTATTTTGAAGAAACTTCAAATCTATTTTCACCTCCTAACACATTTTCAAGGCATGAATAATTGTCTGATCTTTATGACATTTCATCAATTCAACATTCCATAAAATCCTTTCAAAATGCTGCTCATACTTTCTTGTGTAATATGTAAAATGTTACTGCTGAAATAATTCAGATGTGTAAGGTATCCAACTGTAGAGCTTTTGGAGAAAACCAGTTCAAAGAGCTAGCAACAAGATCTGTGTTAATCTTGAAGGATTTGACAAAGAAAATATTCTCCACTATTCCCAATTATAAATGAATCATAGTTGCGTATAAATATCTGTCACAAGATTAGTTTTGGTTTACATGGCACCCGAAGCATGTGCTCCTTGTTGTCTCTAAGGCAGAGATCATAGAAAAATGTTTTAATTAGTTGAGAGGCACATTTTAAAATGTAGTTCAATACATAAAGTACCTTTTCCTCATTATTATTTTACATAATTCAATGGCATTTTGCTGAAAATGATAAAAAGACAACATACTTCCATTCTAATATTGTTCTTATCTATGCCATTGTTTCTCCTTCCACCTACTGTGTTGTGTGAATAGTTGGAGTGGTTTCACTAGAGTTAGTATCACCCATGTGAAAGTATGCACAGGAAAGAAAAGTCTGCAGATAGTGGAAGAGACTGGGTATGATCGACAAAACAAGAGAAAAGAAGAGGACATGTTAGGAGAAAGACAAGAGGGGGAAATTGTAGCCTTTATGGGGAGTCAAGACATGAAGGAGTGGAGAAGGCATGTAGAAAAAAGAAGACAAAAGAGAGGGATGATGAGAATCCAGATATATGAAAAAGAATATGTGAGGAAAGAAAATGAGAAGAGAAATGAAACTGAAGAGAATAAAGGAAATGGGAAAAGATCATGATTGAGGATGAAAAAAATGCTGAAGAAGATTTAGCAATGGTGATGGAGAAGAAAGTGAAACATGAGAAAACAAGAGAAGGAAAGTGAGAGACTGAGCAGCAGGGCAGAAAAAATAGAAGGAGGTTTAAAAGAGAACAGGAACAAAAAAGGCATATAAAATCAGGGATCATTTTTTATGGAATACCATTAGTTCTCCACTTTCACAGGTTTCACAATTGCAGATTTTATTATTTGCAAGTTTGAAACATTATTGCCTCCCAAAATTGGGTTTATGGGAGCTTCTACACACAAAATGTGAAATGAACTGGCATTTCACACATGGTGGCGAGAAGCCACTTTATTGACCATACTGGACCAGTCACCCCAACCCAAAATCCATAGAAAGCCTCCTTACTATTTCTAGAGACTGCCTGATTCCTTGTTCATCTGCAGTGATGATGTGACGGCCTTGCAGAGGGAAGCCCTTCTCCAAATCTCTGTTAAGTCATTACTACAGGCAAACAAGGACACAGCCTTTGGGAACAGTAAGGTGGCTTTCTAGGGAGAGGGGTTGGGGACAGGGAGGGAAGGGTGACACTTCCACCTCACCTCCCTGGACTGCCTAAGCCCAGGGAGCACAGGATGGCAGTGGGGATGCCACCTGTGATCATGGATGGCAATCCCAGATGGCAGTCTCCACTGCCTTGACATCTGCAAACATTCGGATCTTCAAGGAGGATCTGGATCTTTGCAGGGTTTTTTTTTTTTTTGGCCTGGCTATAAACTGTTTCTCTCAGGATAATACGTCCCAGCCTGGGTGCATCATTTGGATGCCCCAGGCTAATGCAACATCTACACTTTATTTTCTGGCCATGTATATGTGAACCTTTACATGGCAGTGAACCTTTACATGGCAGTCCTATCCTAAGGAATTGTGCATACGGAAAATCTCTATTCAACACAAAATCCCCTTCCTTTCTCAGGCAAAATAGAGGCCTACATCATTTAAGTACAAGAAGAAGCTGGCTCATGCCAATTTGTATATCCCACATATCTAGCCCCCCTCTCTCTTCCTGTGTTCCACAAATATCTGTTCTACTTGGACAAAGGAAGAGGAGTACCAGGAGCAACAGGGACATGCTGCACTCAGGTAGAGGAGGGGGAACCAGTTCTGCCATCTATGTGATGGTATGGGTGGAAAAGGAGCTGGGTTATCCAGTGTAAGTGAATTGATGTACAAAGACAACTCCTCGTACAGGAACCAGAGTGGTGGCATCCCATTTGCTGCCTGTCCTGAGACATTTGTGGTTTTCTACTTTTGCAGAGGAGTTGTACCTCCAACCTCCATTAAAATAGAGGAACAACTATATAATTAATTTTGTATGTGATATAATTAATATATTTTCAACATTTCAGCACATGCATTTTTGCATGAAAATATGAAATAGTACATTAAATATGTTTACAGTTACAAATAGAAATGCTCACATTTTTAAATGAGTATTTTCATTTCAATTTCAAAGAATAACTGCTGCTCAGAAAAGTCCTTTTTCTA